AATGTTCTGTATTTTATAAAAAATAATCCATTTCAAGTAGATCTGGGGTTTGTTTATAGATTTTTGTCTGAACCTGGACATAATATAAGCAGCTTAAGGTGGAACCGGAGAATATTTATTCCTTTTAGTTGAGAACCTGGTGTTTAATAAAAATCTTTCGTTTTGTTTTTGTTTTATATCATCCTTTATGTAAAGCTGGAGAACATTGGCTAATTTAAGGGAGATCTGCTGAGCAGAAATGGGTTTTTAAGGTGGACCAGATGAATTCGGACCGACCTGAGCGACCTTTCCAGAACTTCTGGGTTCTGAACTGATGATCTCTGACATTCCCCAGGAACTCCTGCCCGTCAAACACCGCCTGCCTGCCGGGGAAATGATCCACTAAACCGGTCAAAACCCCCGGACCCGAACTTTAGGCCCCGGTAACGGAACTCTCGCTGCCGCAGCAGCTTCGGACTTCAACGAGAAATGTCGGTGAACTCACCGCCTGAAAAGTCTTCGCCACAGTCCGGCTAACGGCTTCAGCGTCCCGCCCGGGGTGGTGGGGGGAGTCCGGCAGAAAATTAGCGGAAATTAAAGAACGAGAAAAAGGTCAGAAGAGGCGACAGAAACCGAGCAAAAAGCGTCGGACTGAAACGAAGTCCTGCCGCTGCCATAAGAGATGAGGTCACCGCGGTAAAAATAACAGCAAGTCGTCATCCGGAGCAGAGTCCGATGAACTCGGCAGGCTCTTAAAGGGCCAGCGCACTATATACTGACGCAGCAGAACCGATACTGCGTCCTGTTTCTTTAAGAACGCACGCTGCATGTGATATGGAAATCTAGGACTGCCTGAAATAAATTTAAATCGCTTGAAAATACGCTTTTATAACAAAAAAATATTCTGCAGAAAAAAGTAACTGAAGGATAAGTAATTTATAACAAGAATACAACAAACATGCTTAAAATAAATAAGCAGATATATTTTATTTTATATAATGAATATAAAATTCAAATTGAAAAACTTTTAGCCTTCTTTTAGCATAACTTTCATTTTAGGCAAGGCAAGTCAAATTTATTTTTATAGCACAATTCAGTACAAAGACAATGCAAAGTGCTTTACATGATTAAAATATAGGAAAATAAAACAGAATCAAAGCAAGCAGGAAAAAATAAATAAATAAAACATGCAGAAATAATAAAGAACATTAAAACAGTTGGACTAAAGAAAATAAAAAAGTTGAACTAATGATGCTTCAGTTGAACTATTTAACTAGAACAGTCAAAGGCAATCCTAAACAAATGTGTTTTTATTATTTATAAATGAGGAGACATTGGTATAATCAAATATATTGATGTGTTCTAAAAATAGAATTTGATAAAATCAGAATATGAAAAAATCTAATAGAACTTAGAATTGAACTAAGTTAAAATTTAAAAGGGGTATTCAGTAAAGGTGTAAATACGTAAAACACTGACTTTTTCATGTTAAAACCAGTCTGTTGATTTTGGGCTTTATTTTTTGCAGAAAACTGTCAAAAGACGGTAAACAAACCATGGCTAACTAACATTGCTAACGCTACATCTACATGAATATGCAAACACATATTATTAAAATTATGAGTATACTCTCTCAATTAAAAAAAGGCTATAAAAGGGGCCCAAATAAGCTATTTTATTTTGTTGTTCTTACAAATAATTAAACAAAACTTAAAGACAATTTCAATTCAGTTTATTTATATAGCACCAATTCACAAAACATCTCAAGACAATTTACAGATACAATTCATCCAGATCATACAGTCAAATTGATTCAGTTTTCTGTCTAAGGAAACCAGTTGATTGCATCAACTCATTGACTTGAAGGCAATCCCTCACACTAAGCATGCTTGTAGCGACAGTGGAGAGGAAAAACTCCCTTTTAACAGGAGAAACCTCAAACCAGCTCCACAGGCAGCCCCGTCTAGGAAACATACATCCAGACAGACAAAGGACGGTATATTTATATTTCAGAAGAATAGTATATGTAAACTACTAAAGTGATAATGTGAGGGGAGTGTTGGCCTAGTGGGTTAGTGCAGTGCAATAGTGCTCTGAGAAGGTTGCAAGCATCCGGTCGATCCCCACAGCCTCTGGGTTCCTGAGCAAAATCCTTCACCCCACACTGCTCCCACAATGGCAGCCCACTGCTACCCGAAGGAGATGGGTCAAAATGCAGGAAACGAATTTTCGCATTGTGGGACAATAAAAGGATTTACATTACATTGTATGTAAGGATCCAGGATCCAGTAAGGATTACATTGCAACACAAAAAGCTGAATATATATATATATAAAATCCAAAACAAACATTCTAGATAATTTTATGATAAAATATAAAATTTTTCTAACGCTGTTTATCAGTTCAAGTTTTTAATAATTATTATTAAACTCTATTGATCTCACATTGGAGAAATTCACCTCTGCGTTTAACGTATCCCCTTGGAGGGCAGTGTGGGGTTGAGGGTCTTGCTCAGAGACCCAGTGTGGCAGTCTGTCGGAGTGGGGCTCGAAATCAGAACCAGGGGCGGATTTAGGAAATTAGGGGCCCTAGGCAAAGACGGGCAGGGGGCCCTCTGAACTGAGAAGACAACATATAAAACAGACCCATTATACAGATAGAGAAATGTTAATAGAATAGACATATATTATTCATTCTAGGTTTTGTCCCTCTCTTCTTGTTGTTTTCCTCTCTATGTTTTGTACTCAGCTGATTTTTCATGCTGTCTCTAAAGGAACGAAAGATTTTTTCCAAGCACTAAGCTCACTTAGCTGATTGCTCCTTCCTGTGTTTCCAAAAAGGCCAAAGTAAATAACCCAGTCCTTCTTTTCACTGTAGACAAGCCATGATCTGCTTATCTGTTCTCCATTTTTCATTTGGATGAAATAATAGCTGCATGAATCATGACAGCAGACAAGATAGAGGAGAGCAGGAGGCGGGGTTACCAATCTACTCGCTCTGGAGAGCAGAGTTCGCTGCTTTTAGATGTTGTCGCCAAAATGTCCAGTAGCAGAAAAAAGTAGGGACATTTGCGCTAATGTGTGCTAGAGGGGTCTGAAAAGTTGCTAAATATAGCGACAAATGCGCCAAAGTGGCATCACGTTTGTTTTCAAATGGTTTGCTGCTGTCTGTTTGGACCTTTGTGATCATGTGCAGCAAATGGACTGATCCAATATGATGGACACTGAAGGGGGGGGGCTGAGACACACTTAATATTATAAGCATCCTGATGGCATTTAAGTGAAAGGATTTTTATCAAAAACATAATTAATGTGCACAAATAAGGAATGGTTGTATTAACAATACATGTAAACAGTTTTAAGGACCCCCCAGGAATTTGGGGTCCTAGGAAACTGCCTAGTTTTGCCTAATGGTAACCCCCCCCCCCTGCTCAGAACCTCAGGATTCCAAGCTCTATGCCCTAACCATTCGGCCAGCTGTATGTGTGATCTAAATTATCATGAATTTATTTTCATTGTTTGTTTACATATGTCCAAAGGAAGGTATAAAGAAGTCTGTCAAACAAAACACACACAAACAAAAAATGGATCCTCTTTCTAATGAATTGAAACCTGTTAGTTTTCCTCCCATGTTGGGAAAACACCTGACCTATGAGAAAGAGAAGCCATCAGATGATCTGCCGTATCAGATCAGCACCAGGGATTCAGGCAGCTGACACAGACCCAGGGGACATGCTTAGACAGATGAAGTATGCTGGTATAGGTACAAGATCCCTGTAATACTTAACAAGCGCTCAACATTGACCCTAATTGAAGAGTGTTGTCCTTCCTGGTTGTGTAACAGAAAATCAGCTGAATCTCATGTTGTTGTTTTTTTGGGAGGGACAAAGAGCAGAGTACACAGAACGGACAAAAAGGGCCAAAGACCTGAAATGTCTCTCATTCTGGAGCAATTAGCGTGCATGGATAAGCCCCTATGAGAACTGTGATGAAGAGATCAAAGCAGGTCATCATGGCTCTGAGATGCTCTGAGCTGCTCCTAATCATCTACGATCCAGTGCTTTCAGCCCTGCACACAGGTCCAGTAATAAGAAACCCAAAATAAAGAGGAACACAGTGCAGGTGGTGATGATAACTGACATTTAGAGGAACAAATGGGTTTCTCTCCCTGTCCTGGTTCGATGACGCGATCCTGGACAAAATAAAAGGTAGAATGTAACTTGACTCTTTCCTTTTGACTGGAAGTGGAAGTCTGTTGAGTGCAAAAATTTGGACTTGGAAGATTGAAACCCTGTCACTGTCACTCTGGATCTCTGAGCAAGACCCTTAACCCCTGATTGCTCCCCACCGCACAACCGCAGCCCAAAGGGGATGGGTTAAATGCATGAGTTAATTTATTCAATGTGAGATCATCTATCCATCCATTTTCCGTCCCGCTTATCCCAGCTGGGGTCGCCAGGGATGCTGGTGCAGCTGTCTACGGGCGAGAGGCAGGGTTCACCCTGGATAGGTCGCCAGTCCATCGCAGGGAAACACAGAGACAAACAGGACAAACAACCATTCACGCACAGAGAATTTAGAAAAGCCGGAGGGGATGGATGGTGGGAGTATGCCGGAGTACCCAGAGAGAACCCATGCATGCTCAGGGAGAACATGCAAACTCCATGCAGGAAGACGCCGACTGGGAATCAAACCTGGACCGTCTTGCTGCAAGGCAGCAATGCTACCCACTGCAACACCGTGAAGCCCATATTGGGGGAGCAATAAAGGTCAATTTATTGATTTATTCTTTATTGGATGTACAAATATAGAATTAATATTTGAATCAGAACTTTGATACAACCATAGAATAAATGGGCCGAAGATTCTAGATAGATTCAGGAATAAAAATAAAAAACAGGAATATTTCCATGTAAAACTGGTTTTCTATTCTGATCTGTAATCGGGGCTCATACCCGTTTTGTCCAGGAGGTGGCGGCGTTCTGCCGGAAGTGGTAGGCGACCCAGAACACACAAGAGAAGAAGACGGGAAGCGAAGATGTAAACAATGCAGGGACTTCCCTGAACTGGATCAAACGGAACCACAGCCTGTTCTAAGCTGGATCAGCTGGATTCTAATGAGTCGTTCATGATCTGGCTCAGCCGGACCATCTGTTGTTCTGCTGCTGGGATTCGGTTCGGACGCTGATCCCCGGATTTTGTTTTGTTTTGAAACGCGATGGAAGATAACAAGGTAATGACTCTGCCGAACCGGGTTCCTTTTAATCAACATAGAACAGCGAACCCGACCAGAATCAATGTTTGAACGGGTTACCAGGTGGTTCTGATTGGGTTCATAGTCCGGATCGGACTATTTATTGACCTACTGGATCAGAGAGGAACTGGAACATGGACCCGGTTCTTTTAGGTTTAATCTGGAAGGTTCTGCTGACAGCTGGAGGTCCATCAGCGATACGATCAATGCGCGCGCGCTGTAGACGTTCCGGTTCTGGAGGTTCAGCCTGTGGTTCTGAGGGTCTGGTTCCTCTGGAGGACCACAGCAGGGCCCCAACTCATTCAGACCAGGTTGTCCAGATCAGAACCAGTGAAACCAGTGTCAACAATCTGAACATCCACATAGAGGAAGGCTGGGATCACTGGTTCTGACACAGACTGTAATGGACCGGATCTCTGGATTAGTTTAATCTGGATTATATCAAGAGGAGCAGGGATAAGTTTTACAAAACTGAAAAAAATAGGATTCTTTTTAAATTCTTCAAATGAAATTTGAATCTAAGACGTGTATACAATAGTCGAGTTGTTAAAAAAAAAAGTGGATTTTCTTTTCCTTTTTTTTTCTTTTTTTTGGGGGTGGGGGGCATACATAGCCTAATTAATATATTCTATTAACCTAAAGCAATATGCATGGTCTGGTTGTTACATATCAGGTATGCCTGTCCTTGACCTTGACCAAGGCAACTTACAGTAGAACTGGACTGGCATGGCTATCACTGCCCCTACATAGTTAGCATGGCTATCACTGCCCCTACATAGTTAGCATGGCTATCACTGCCCCTACATGGTTAGCATGGCTAGCACTGCCCCTACATGGTTAGC